CTGATGCATTAACTCATTTGTTCTTCATCCAGCAAGCTCTCAGAAGGCTCACTCTACACCTAGCCTGTGTTGGACACTGGGGAGTAGCTGAGGAAGCCATGCTCTGTGTGCTCAAGAAGGTGGCCCAGGTAGGGTGGATAGGGAAGCAATTGTAGTGCAATGAATGTTACTATTGAAGAGTATTCAGGGAAAAAGAGAGTCAAGGAGAGCTCCTGGACAAAGCACTTCCTAAATTAAATCTCAGAGAGCCCATAGGTATTGGCCTGGAAGGATGATAGAGAGGCGGAATCCACATGGAGGGAACAGTGTATGGGAAGGTGTGAGGACCAGAGAGAGAACAGCACAGTAAAGGGCAGGAGCAAGCTCAGCACAGCTGCAGTGCTGTGTGGGGTGTGGAGACATTGGAGGGGAAGCCTGAGAGGTCAGTAAGAGCCAGACCACCAGTCTTTCCCAGCCAGCTGAGAAGCTTGGAAATAGTGCAACCTAGGCTTGGCCACGGTAGAGCAGGCCTGTATTGCTTTCTGACAGATGGACACTTCACAGGTGGAGGGGAAGGGGACAGCACATACCCACCAGGGGCCAGAGGATGAGCCTTTTGGAGAGTCCTTCTGGTTCTCCTTTCCTCTGTCTCACAGGCGGGAATGCAGTGGTGCAATCATAGCTCACTGGAGCCTTGAACTTCAAGACTCAAGCAATCCTCCCACCTTGGCCTCCCAAAGTGTTGGGATTACAGGTGTGAGCCACTGCACCTGGCCCTTCCTGGGGCTTCTATCCAAATGTAAGGTTTGTGCTGGGACCACCCGTAGGAAATTGCCACCTTGTGGGTAATGCGGGAATTACAGATCTAGAAATGACAATGTTCCTTATTTCTCAATTCAATATGTATTTCCTAATAATTACAAGCTGCAGTGCTGGAATAAGGAGCCATCTATCAGATGGAGAGAACAGAAATGCATACAGAAGTCACTGAATGTTCAGAGGTATGCCTGAAGCAATAGGTTGGTGAGGGAGGACATTGAAAGCTTCAGAGATGACACCTGCACTGAATTGGGTAAAAAGTGGTCTTTAGGGGCCATATTCACTTTCCATCCTGCAACACGGGATAGGAAAGGACTCATGCAAGGTCACACAGCTCTTCAGGGCAGGGCCGGGGCCAGCACCCAAGTTTCTGGGTATCTCAGCCCCGAGCTCGCTCTTATATATGGTTGGCCTTCAGTTTAAATGGATCCCACTCCTGGTGCTCTAGAAATGGCTTTTGCAGAATCTGATCTTCTGCTCCTGACTATTCCCAGGCCCCGTCGTGGTAATTGGTCACAGCCAGCTTTCTGATGCAGTAATCTCTTCCTTTGTGATCTGCATTCTGTCTATGTGAAACTGCAAAACACTAAAACTCTCCCTAGGGTGAATACTGTGCTGCAGCCAGGATCTTGTCCTCCCTGGGAAGAAGAAACAAGGTGTGTCCCAAGAGCGTTTATCCTCAGGAACTAGCATAGTCCTTGATGTGTAGGTACTTTGTAAATATTTGTGATATGAATGAATGAGTGAAGACAGGAGAGGTGGGTAGGCCTGAGAGGTTAGTCCCAGCTCTCCTGTGGGCTTATCCAGAGTTGAGTCTTCTCTAGAATAGTCTGGAAAGATTAGTTGGGGACAGATTACAAAGGTCACTGAATGCCCAGCTAAAAAGATTGGCTTTCTTCTACTAGCAGAGGGGAAGCAAACCTGTTAGAGAACAGGGAAGGAGCAGGATCAGAATATAGGTTGGTTTCATTCCTTGTCAAAGAGAGAAAAATAGTCCCAAGTCAAAACTCATATCTGTCCCAGAAAGCCATTGATATTACTTTGTGAACCCAAAAATATCGGAAACAGGTTTCAATCAATTTAGAAAGTTTATTTTGCCAGGATTAAGGACACACCTGTGACACAGCCTCAGGAGGTGCTGACAACATGTGCCCAAGGTGGTCGGGGCACAGCTTGCTTTTATACACTTCAGGGAGAGATGAGACGTCAATCAATACGTGTAAGAAGTACATTGGTTCTGTCTGGTGTGGTGGGACAACCCGAAGTGGGGGCTTCTAGGTCGTAGGTAGATAAGAGACAAATGATTGCATTCTTTTGAGTCTCTGATTAAGCTTTCCCTGAATACACAGTTTATGTGTGAGAGGAAGGTAGAGGAATAGTCACTTGTCCCTTAGTCTGGCTCATTGAATCTGCACTTTTACATAAACAATAGGGCAGAGGAAGCAATCAGATGTGCATTTGTCTCGGGTGAACAAAGGGATAACTTTGAGTTCTGTCTGTCCTTTGTATGGCACGTGTGAAGATAAGCCATCAATTTACATACCAAGGTGAAATTCGACAGAACTGTTTAGGGTAAAGACCTTGAGGCCCACGAAGAATTTCCTTGTGGGTAAATTATGAGAAAGGTATGTAGCTCTTTTTTTTTTTTTTAATTGAAACTTTGTAGCTATCTTGTTTAGAAATAAAATGGGAAGTAGGTTTGCCTGACTTAGTTCCCAGCTTGACTTTCCCCTTTAGCTTAGTGAGGGTCCAAGATTGATTTTCCATTCACAAGTTAATGAAGAAATTGCACTAGGTCTTCTAGATATCTGAGTTCTTTTGTTTCTAATTTCTACTTCTGGTTTGGTTTCTATTTCTAGTTTCTAGTTTCTATTGCTAGTTCTTAATTTAATAATTAAGCCATGTCTCTAGAGAATAACTAGAAGCTGGCCTGTAATAAGCTTACAACACTCAGGAAACAAGCACAACCTTTGTGATACACTGTTGAATTTCCTTCTGTGACATCACCCAGGCTGTGAACCCTACTACATATAGGGTCCCAGTACAGTAACTCTTCCTAACCTGGGTCTGGTGTAGTCAGTAATCTCTTTCCTCACTCTCTGCCAACTGCAGCACCATTGCATAACTCCTGGGAAAAAGTCTGTAGTGGAGTGCTATAGGGCTCTGTTCTATTCAATGTTTTTATTGGTAACCTAGATGAACTCAGAGAGAGTATTCAAATGCCCCCAAAGAAATTAATATACATTGGATAGGAAAAACAATATTCAAAAAGGCTTGTGTAGCTTAGCATGGTGACGAGAAATCAAATGTTGAAATGTTCTAGAGATACATGTCAAGTTCTCTGTTTGAGTTCAATGCAAAAATAAGAAAGCCCAAGAGAAGCGAAATGAAATCTATCATGCTGGTTTCAAAAGGGTCCAAGTCTGGAGCATGGCAGCCCCTCAGAAGTGAATCTTTACTACTATAAACCAAATATTCCAGAATTTTGCATTTTAAAACCAATGTCCAGAATTTAAGCATTTTAAAACCAATGTCTTAGCTTTTTTTCCCCCACTTTAAGGTGGCTGCCTTTCCAATGTCCCCAGAACGGTTGGTGACAACTCAATAATGATTCTTCCTTAATGGTATGAAGAGAGGAATTGTAAAATTGTGAGGAAACTTGCCATGATCATCCAAGAATTTAAAATATCCATTTGAAGTCTGGGAAATGGAGCCAGGAAGCACATTGCGGATGGGCACTCCTGGAAGTGATAGCATCTCTGCGTACCTAGAAGGAGAAGAGCTTTGCAATTATTTTCTATGAACCATCTGACAGAGATGTATCAAGAACTGCTTCTTTCAGTGAAGGAGACAGCCTGGTTTCAGAGGAAATACATTTACAGTGTTTCTTTGCTTTTAGACATCCAGCAAAAGAGGTATGTTGTACTCAATCTTTGTATTTCTCTTTCTCTTTTGTTTTTCTTTCATCATTTTCATTTTGACAATAAGTATGTATGGAGCCTCCCCTGTATCCCAGACATCATGCTGAATCAGATCTAGCTGTGGCTTCCAAGCCACTCTGGCCTAGAAGGGGGCTGTGACTTTGTGACTGTGTGCCCAATACCTGGCACATAGTCGGCCCCCAATGATAGCTAATGTTCACTGAGTGCTTACTGTCTGTCAGGCACCCTGCTAAGTATTCTATGTCTACTAGCTCATTTCAGCCCCACTGTCCATAAGGTTGGTATAGCTTGTCTTAGATAAAACTGAGGCTCAGAGAGGTGAACAATGAAATTTGCCTGAGGTTACACAGCTGAGAAATGATGGAGTTGGCCCTCAAGTCCACACTTGGAACCACTGCACCTATTTCTCCATAAGTGTGTGTTAAATGAACAAATAAACATATGACATAAAAGGATGTAGGTCAAGCCCAGACAGAAGATTGCATCATGGCAATCAGAAGATACTTCATGGCAGATTCTGCTTGAGGCAGGACTTAATGAACAAGAGCGATGCCGATCAGTAGAGGTGGGAGGAGCCGCTCCAGGCAGGAGTGAAGAGGTCAGGGTTGGCAAACACAAATGGCCTGAGTTTGTCAGTTATGGTGTCTGTTCACTGCCTCCATGACTCTCTCCCACTCCACCATGGCTGATTCGATCTGGGGTGTTATGGACCAAACCGTGTCTGCCTCCCAAATTCCTGTGTTGAAGCCCTAACTCCCAGTACCTTAGAATGTAACTGTATTTGGAAATAGGACATTTATAGAGGTAATTACATCAAAATGAAGCTTTATCCTTAAAATAAAGGATGGACCATGTGGTGCTTGCAAGTCCTCTACATTCTGTGCTGTGTCTGCTATGGTAACACCAGCTGCTAGAACAAATAAGCCCCACGCTTCACCAGCTTATTGCAATAGAACTTTGCTTCTTGCTCATACACTAGTCTGTGAGAGGACAGCCTGTGTAGAAGACAGTTTTGTCTGCATGGTGATTCATGGACCCAGATGCCTTCCATCCTGTAATTCTATATCCTTTAGAGCCTTAGAGTCCAACCAACAGATGGGGAAGGAGAAGGTGGGAAAGACACGCTTGTTCCTTGACCATCTTGGCATAGAAGTGACACACATCACTTCGGCTCACACTCCATGGGTGAGACCTAGTCCATGTCTGTCCCTAGATGCCAGAGTGGCTTGAGAGTATGACCTGGGATGAAAATATCCTTACTTTATGGAAAGGGAGCAGGAACACCTGGTGGACAGCTAGCGGGTCCACCATGTGGTTGGAATTCAGTTCTGAACTTGTCTCCAGCCTCTTCTCCCCACAAATGGGCTGCCTTGTTTCCAAGAGAATCTAGGAGCCAGTGTTCGTAGTGTATTGCCTTAAGGCAGAGTCCTAGTTTATTGCCTGTAATAATTTTTACACCTGACCAAAGGGGCCATGGCTGTTCGGCAAAGCTCCGACAGCTCAAGGGGATGCTGCCCACAGCAGGAGCTTGAAAGGGCCAGCAAGAGTCCAGGAGAGAGGAAATAGGAGTGTAAGTCCTACGTCTGCAGCATGAGAAGGGGAGCTGAATAGTCAGCAGTGTTCTGGAATGAGGAAGCAGACTGCCTGCTTGCTTTCATTTCTTAGGTAAATATTTGCTGGAAGTTTGCCTTTTCTCTGAGTTTTTCGGTGCTGTGACGAGAACTGGGCAGAACATCAGCTCATCAGAAGCAGTGACATCCAAGAGCCCTGAGAAACCCGAAGAACAATTGAGAGAAGCCTCCTTTGCCAACGCGTTGCCCACCAGGGCTGCACGTGGTACCCCCACTCCAAGATGCTTTCCAAAAACACCAGGTAAGCTTTAAGAGGCAGATCTGAGACAAGTCATACTGGATAGCTGCATGTTCCTAGCAACTGCCTTCTGTGATGCTGGTGATTAATGAAAACTGGGAGAAAGGCATGTTTTAACTAATTCGTAGATAGGCTGGCATGGAGGAAATAACATAGATAGGTTACTTGGTCAGTGAATAGATTTCCTTTCATCTTCAGTTCAGAGACAGAGTGGAGTGGGCAGAGCCCAGATGTGTTGTTAGGGGGCCTGGGTTCAAATCCTGGAGTTTCCTCATCTCTGAATCAGGTGTGATACCCCCTGCCTTACCTAAACCACAGCTTTGTGAAGATCATATGAGAACAAGAATGTGAAAGGATTCGAGATCCATAAAGTCCTGCCCCGATGGCAGGAATTAAGAATTCTTATTCTAACCTTCAAATGTTTTAGATCCAAGAACTGAAAGCCTACTCCAAAATATAACAAAAAATCCAACCATCACCTTCTGGCGTCACAGTATCTATTTAGAACTGTGGAGGATCAAAGAGGGAAATGAGTCATGAAAACACCAACAAGAATAAGAGTCACTTGGGAAAGGAGATACCCAGAATCCCACCCAAGGGAAGAGGGAGGGAGCCTGAGCACAGTGAATGGAAAAGACCTGAGGCCGGAAACAGACCAGAGGGACAGCTTGTAGGACTGGTGGACAGGGAGCACAGGAGGCAGCCAGAGGTGGGCAAAGACTGAAACTGGAAGGTCTGAGAGCATTATTCCTTTTCCCCCTCTCTCCAGCTGGCCCCTTGGGCTGGGAGAAGGGAAAGGCTAAGAGGACAATTTTTAGGAAGATCCCTCTGGTCACAGGATGGAAAATGGGTAGGAGATAGGAGCCTGGGCAGGAGGCTACTGAGATAGTCCAGACAAAGGGGGCAGTGGCCGAGACGAAGGTGGTGGCTTTCGGGGTGGAGAGATGTGTCTGGATTTGGCAGGGATTGGGAGGAAGGAGTAGAGGATGACTTTGGGTCCCTGACTTGGATGAATGGGTCTGGGGTAGTGCCATTCCTGAGATAAAGATGCCAGGGGAGGAGCAGGAAGTTGGGGTGTTCAGATGGGACATGTTGGACTGGGGTGTTCAGATGGGACGTGTTGGACTGGGGTGCCCATGGGACATCCAGAGACAGATAACCAGGAGGCTGACAATTGGCCCTGTGGTCTGGCATTAGAGGGAAAGTCCAGGATGGACCCAGAGAATTTGGCCTACCCTCTGGTGCCAGCTGTGCCTCTTGGGCCCTTGACGTTCCTTTGAAGTCAGCACCATGCCCCTGAGAGCTTCTCCCCATCCCTCTCAGGGCCCCCTCTCCATCACGGTCCTCTTCCTGGGTATGGCTCAGCTGGTTAGGGCCCTTCTCACAGGGCAGGACCCAGCCTGAGCATGTAGTTCTGATTGGTCTACCAGTGAGAGGTGGGGAAGGGGTGTCGCTGTCCCCACTAAGGACCCTAGAAACCTTTATCAATGTTTTAATGTCATTGTAGTGCCTGAATATGTTTCCTCTTTGGAAAATATAAGAAGGGTTCAAACTCCAGCTCTGCCAGCATCTAGCTAAGTGACTCTGGGCTTTTAGTTAACCTCTAAAGCCTCAGTTTTCTCATCCATGAAACGGAAATACTAGTACGTGTTACACAGGTTGTGAAGGGTTAAGTGAGACAATAACTATAAGAACCTTATCCAAATGCCCAGCACATAACTCACATTCAACACACAATGGCTATTATTATTGTTACTTTTATTAAGTGAAAAGAAATGAAAATGAATATGACTTTATTAGACAGTTAAGAAAGGAAGGAGGTAGAGAAGAAAAGTTTTTGTCTTTTCAACAACCAAGTTTTTTGGTGGTAGCATTCTCTGAACTTTTCAGACATGCATGAAAACACCCCCATGCACATTTTCTAAAGCAGGGCACCAGCCAGAGCTGACCATTCCTAGACATACAGCAAGGTCAAAATGAATGGAGAAGTCGAAGCAAAGACAAAGAGAACAGAGATTTGAACGTACAGAGAAGAAAGAGAGAGGCTCCGGGATAAAGTGAAATAAAAACAGGGTGTTTATGTGTGGGCTTGATTGCAGAACTTTTCCCTGATTCTCAGAAGGTCATAGAAAGTGGCAGACACAGAGACAAGCCAACACAGTGAGAGAGAAAGGCAGGGAGCTGCATGTGATGCTCTGAGGGGCTGTCAGAGGCAGGCCTGCAGGGGAAAAGGAGAAATTGGGAAACAACCAGAAAGACAGTCAGCAAGCTTATGTGGGTTTATGGTAATCATGGACTTCCTCTTATTTTATTTTAAAAATTTAAGCTTTTTATTATGGAAATACACAAACCCATACAAAAGAAAAGAGAATAGTATCATGAACCGCCAGCTTCAACAATTGTCAACACGTAACCAATCTTGTAGCACTGATACTCCCCCATCCCCTCCTCCTCTCCTAGGCAGCCTATTATTTCATCATGAATTTCATTTTGTGTTTTTGTTTGAGACAGAGTCTCACTCTGTCACCCAGGCTGGAGTACAGTGGTGCAATCACAGCTCACTGCAGCCTTGGTCTCCCTGGTCCAGGTGAGCCCCCCACCTCAGCCTCCTGAGTAGCTGGAACCATAGACATGCACCTCTAAGCCCAGCTAAGCTTTTTATTTTTTGTAGAGATGGGGGGGTCTCCCTATGTTTCCCTGGTTGGTCTCAAACTCCTGGGCTCAAGCGATCCTCCTCCATCAGCCTCCCAAAGTGCTGGGATTATAGGCTTGAGCCACCATGCCCTGCCTGGATTTCATTTTTGAAAAGAATTCTGCCTTCTCCGTGGAATTCTTAAAGTGGTGTACAAGTGATCTGGTACAGAAGTTTGTTCTCAAACCTCCACAAGCCCCTGCCATTCTCTTGTTTTGATTCTGAGAGAGCCCAGACTGCCCTGGCCATAGGAGCTGAAAATTACATTGAAATCAGAACTTAGCAGTCAGAGAGTTCTTTTATGATCATCCAGATTGTTAGCATTCAATGCCTGGCTCCCCAACTTGCTAGCTGTGTAAGTTGGACAATATTCTGGATCTTTCAGTGCCTCAGTTTCCTCATCTGTGAAATGGAGTGATAATGTACCTTTCCCATAGGGCTGTTGTGAGGATGAAACAAGGTGGTAAACATACTAAATGTTTAAAACAAAGCTTGGCACATAGTAGACCCTTGAGGGATGTTAGCTTTCCATTCACTAGTTTAGGAAACATGAGTGAATGCCAACTGGTGCCAGAGGTATGGGCAGGAGCTGGGCACAGGGAGCTGAATGAGAAGAGCCTCTGCCCTCGAAGAGCTCCCCATTCAGTGGGGGACACAGACCTATGAAAAGTTAGCTCCAAACAGTGGACTGGTGGCTGTGACACTGGGCCGTGTCCCAAGCAGTCCATCCTATCCCCTCAATTCAGAAGTGAGCAAACAGAGACCTAGGGGTCCCCTGAGCCTAAGGAGCCACAGTGGTTAGCAGCAGAGCTGGGATGGGCTCAAAGTGGATTTCCCTGACTGGGCCTCTTCACATGAAGGCTTCAAAGGAGGTCGGTGGCCCAGGAGGGCACCTGGCCCATGCTGGGCAAAGGTGCTGGGCTTTGGGTCAGTCTTCCTGCAGTAGGGAAGGGTAAGATTGGTCATGGGGCCAGGCGTGGGCAGCCATTCTGGTTACTGGTTAACCAGGTGGGGACTGCAATGCACTGCATGGTCAGGGGCCCAAAGGTAGTGGAGTCCTTGGCACTTTCCGCCCTAGCAGAAGGCCAGGGATGCCAGCCTGGCTGAGCACAACCATGCATAGCACTGGACTAGGGCTGGCGGATGGAAGGCAGAGCCTGTGGGGAATGGGAGAGGTTGCCACTGCTTACCAGATGCTCTGGGGACAGAGAAGCAGACAGGGTCCAGGCTCCGAGGAGGTAGAAACGCAACCAGTGACAGTCCCCTTTCAGTTCTGTGAAAGGAAAAACACCTTTCTTTTGTCAGAGTTGTCCAAAAGTGGGGAAAAGACAGAATAAGTACAAGTGATCTGATACAGAAGTTTGTTCTCAAACCTCCACAAGCCCCTGCCATTCTCTTGTCTTGATTCTGAGTAGTTGAATAAAACTACTCTTTGGGCACAAGTCCAGGCACTTGATTCTCATTGTATCTCATCCACACAGAGCCCTGAAAGGGGGACACTGGATCCATTTTCAGGACGAGAAGAGTAAGACCCAAAGAAGGGCATGGCTCGCCCACAGTCACACAACTGGCGTGTGGTGGAGCTGAGACTCACTCTCATGGTCTTCCTGGCTCCAAAGCCCACACTTTTCCACTGAGCCTGGCTGACTCAGCAAGATGGCAGGGTTGGCCTGGGAGGTACAGGGTTCCTACCCTTGAAAGTGCCCAAATGGAGCTTCAGGGCTGCCCTGTGGGGAGGGAGAGTGGCAGAGAGTACAGAGGCATTCACACTTCCCATGGGTGGATGCTAGTCTGTGATTCCACTACTTGGAGTGGATGAGGGGCCAGGAGGCAGCTCAGCCCAATGCAGGCCAAGTACACACAGTGCAGAGTGTATGTCTCCCTGGCACCCGCCCTTCCTGCATTCTTTCCTTC